ATGAAAAAGATATGAATTACTCTGTTATACTAGAAATAAGATAGCAGGTTCTGAAGTTCATTATGATTGTAATACTTCCTGCATGCTTGTAATTCTTTTCCTGTTAACAAAACACAAAACTTGAATGATTTTGCTTCTTTTATTGCTTCCATGTTTTGCATAATCCTAGTGATGACTTCTCTGCTATTGCATGCATAATTATAGTACTGATACTTTTCCTATCTCATCACAATTAGGCATCAAAGCACTCTCTAAAACAACACTAACCTATCACATAGTACACCTACTATTTTCATGTGAATAATACCAAAACACTAACTATCGTTGGCATGATAGGCTAGGACATCCTCACCAGATTGTTACACATATTCTGTCATCTATGGATAAACAACTTCAGGATCAGTTTCTGCCTTAGGATCAATTTCTGCCCTGCCTTTTTGTGATGCTGTAGATAGGTAAGTGCATAGAAATCTTTCCTTTGTCCAATCTAGAGCTACACACCACTTGAGTTAGTGCATAGTGATGTTTAGGGACCAGCCCCACTAACCTCGCTAGAAGGGTTCAAATGCTATGTCCACTTATTGATGATTACAGCCGTTTTAATTGGCTGTTTCCTTAAGAAAAAGTTGAAGTAATTCGTTTTTATTAAGTTTCACCACCTGGTTGAAAGACAATTTAATTGTAAGCTTAAAGTCTTCAATCCGACCAAGGTGGAGAATATAAGGGTCTATGTCATATCTTCTACTGCTGGTATTGAGTTTAGGCACTCTTGTGCTCATGTTCACCAGCAAAATGGAAGAAGTGAACGCAAACATAGACATATAGCAGAAACTGGCCTCATTACTTGCTCATGCTCTTGCCACTGCATTTATGGTGGTTTGCATTTGATACTGCAGTTTTCTTGATTAATAGAATGCCTACTGCCATTTTAAACCACATTTCACCTTATCAAGTGCTTTTTAACAGATCACCAGTTTATCTGAACTTAAAATTTTTGGCTACACTTGTTTTCCTTTTCTAAGAGATTTTAACAACTAAACTTAGTTTCCTTTCATCTAAATGTACTTTTGTTGGATATAGTTTAGTGCATAAAGGCTATAAATGTTTGAATTCTGAAGGGAAAATTTATATCACTCCTAAGTCCAATTTAATGAACAAGAATTTCCTTTTGCCACTAAATCTAATCAGTCTCACTCTCATTCTACTGTACACCACTTGATTTACCAGAAACCACCCCTTCTATTCCTAGTTTTTCTTATGTTTCTGTTAGCAACTACATGATATAAGTGGCAAAGTTCTCCTGCAGTGGCTAGTCCTGATCCGTCCCAATCCAACAATTGTAAGTCAGTTCAACTTCAATCTCAGCACCTCAATTTTCTTCTAATATTCCTTGCAGCAGTAACTTTAATTCTCATGTTCCTTTGTCTTCATCACATCATACTGAGTCCCATAGATGTTCCACTATTTTAGGTCCAACCTCTTTGATACAAATTTTACAGGTTCTAATATTCCTTGCAGCACTAACTTTAATCTGCTATCCTTTGTCTTCATCACATCACATGCTATCCCTATAGATATTTCCACTATTTTAGGTCCAACTTCTCTGATACAAATGTACAGGGTCAGCTTCCCCTACAATTCACACACCTTCATCCACCTGCCCTCTTGAGGTTGATTTCACCCATTTCAACACCAATTGTACAACCAGTGAGTCATATCCTTGCTTACTAATCAGTCTAATTTACAGCACTCTTCTCAATCTTCTAGTTGCTTCTTGTAGTAGATTTAACTCCATCACAATTTTCTGCTCCTAGTTCATCTTCTTACCCATGACCATCATTCACACCAATGATCACTAGGTCTAAATCCTCTTTACAACCTTCTATGCCAAACTTGGTCTATCATCACCACTACACAACCCGAATCTTCATAACAAAACAATTTCTGCACAACCTGAATCCTCACAACAAAACCAGTCCCTATACAACCTTATACTACCCTTACATCATCTACAACCACTGTTAACCTAAACCCTTGACAGTAAGTGAAGCTCTTGCTAGTAATGAGTGGAAAGAGGTTAGCAAGCTGAGTTTAATGCTTTAATGCAAAATGAAACCTAGAGTCCATTTCCTAAGACTGCCGATATGAATGTAGTTGGTAAAAAATGGGTTTTCAGGACAAAATTCAATGCTGATGGGTCACTTTCAAATATAAGCCTAGGCTAGTTGCTGAAGGCTTCCAACAAACACCTGGGTTGGATACTTTGAAACCTTTAGCCGACTATTAAGCCTAGTACCATTAGAATCATTCTACCCTTGTTGTTTCTGGATGGGACATTCAACAGATAGACGTGAATAATGCTTTTCTTAATGGTCAATTGGCTTAAACTGTTTATATGAGGTAGCCTGAAGGTTTTGAAGTTCTCACCTTCTTCATATGTGGGCAAACTAACAAGGCTCTTTATGGCCAAAACAAGCTCCAAGGGCATGGTTTGATAAACTCCACCGGCCTTATTGGACAAAGGCTTTAAGAATTTAGTTTCAGATTCCAGTTTATTCATTCTTAAGGATAATGCTCAAGTTCTTTATGTCCTCATTTATGTGGACGACATCCTAATTACTGGATCCAACACTTCTTCCATTTTACAACTAATTGAAATCTTAAATACTCAGTTTGCCTTGAAAACACTTGGTTCAGTGACCTATTTTCTTGGTTTGGAGGCAATTAGAACACATGAGGGAATTCACTTGAAACAAACTAAATACGTTACTAATTTGCTTGTAAAAATTAAGATGCAAGATGCCCATTCCTACCCTACTCCCATGGCTGCTGGTACAAAACTTTCAGCCACAGATAGTGAGTTATTTAAAGACCCCAGTTTGTATAGAAGTACCATTGGTGCTCTTCAGTACTTAACCTTAACAAGGCCTGATATTAGTTTTACAGTCAACAAACTAAGTCAGTACCTTCAAGCACCTACTGAGCTACAATGGCAAGCTTGTAATAGGGTTTTGAGATATCTTAAAGGAACACAGTCTCATGGTCTTCAGTTCAAACCAGCAGTTGCTCTTCACCTTGAATGCTATGCAGATGCTGACTGGGGCAGTAACTTGGATGACAGGAGGTCCACCAGTGGCTACTGTGTATATCTTGTGCCAAATTTGATTCAATGGAGCTCCCGAAAGCAAAGAGTGGTTGCCTTATCATCTACTGAAGCTGAATATAGAGCATTGGCACATACAACAACTGAATTGGTGTGGCTGGAAAGTCTGTTTTCTGAGTTGGGAATATCTCTCAATTCTTGTCCAGTAATTTGGTGTGATAATGTCAGCGCTGGTGCCTTAGCTTCTAATCCCGTCTTTCATGCTCGGACAAAGCATATATCATTATATCCGGGATCAAGTTTTAGCAAAAAAGATTACTGTGCAATATGTTCCTTCAAAACTGCAGATTGCTGATGTGTTAACCAAAGCCCTCTCCATTACTCAGTTTCAAGAGTTGAAACAGAAACTTTGTGTTGTTGACACTCCACAACCTGTACGTATGAACTGAAATATGGTGACTTGTTGTGATAAAAATAGTGCTTAATGCTGCCTGTCAGTGTGAACTGAAATATGGTGAACTGAAGTAGCAGAAACTTTGTGTTGTTGACACTCCACAGCCTGTGAGTATGAACTGAAATATGGTGAACTGAANACTGAAAGTTTAGCATGTTCCTACTGAATTTCAGAAAGCAGATGTTCTTACTAAGGCATTGCCAGCTTCCAAGTTTGTATCATTTCGAGAAAAGCTTAATGTCAAAGCTACTCCATCAGTTTAATCAGTCTGCTGTAGATGCTATGTGTTACTTGTGTTTAATTTGTGAATTTTCTTGAATTAACAATTCTAGTTGGTTGTTGTTTCAGAAGAGCTGCATGTTGATTTAATGTGCTAGAAAAGCTTAATGTCAAAACTACTCCATCAGTTTAATCAGTCTGCTGCAGATGCTCTGTGTTACTTGTGTTTAATTTGTGAATTTTGTTGAATTAACAATTCTGGTTGGTTGGTGTTTCAGAAGAGCTGCATGTTGATTTAATGTGCTTCTTGCTGAAACTTCTGCATGTTGAGTTGAAGATGATTTTGCTGAAGGTTCTGAAAGTTGTTTTGATGATTTGTGAAATTTTAAAAGTAGTGCAGAATTGAATTGGAGCAGACTTGTCAGAATTCTGATTTAATGTGCATTTTGCTGAAACTTCTGCATGTTGAGTTGAAGATGATTTTGCTGAAGGTTTTGAAAGTTGTTGTGATAATTTGTGAAATTTTAAAAGTAGTACAGAATTGGATTGGAGCAGACTTGTCAGAATTTTGAAAGAAGTTGCTGAACCTTCTGAATGATGAGTTGAAGATGATTTTGCTGAAGGTTTTGAAAGTTGTTTTAATGATTTGTGAAATTTTAAAAGTAGTGCAGAATTGGATTGGAGCAGAATTGTCAGCTAAAAGTATTGAAAGGAGTTGCTGAAACTTTTGAATGATGAGTTGAAGATGATTTTGCTAAAAATTTTGAAAGGTGTTTTGATGCTTTGTGAAGTTTAAAGATGAGTTTTGAAGGCTACTACGTATGCTGTTTGCAGTGTTTGTCTTAAACTCTGGTGAAGCTATCAGCTTGTAATGCAAAGTCTGATGATTCAGTACTAAGCTTGATGTTGATCATATGGTGCAGTAGTGGAGATTAGTAATGAGAAGATTATGGAAGTCTAGTTTAAGGGAAGATGTTAAGATGAGTGTATTAAATGGTTCATACTTCATGCTTATGGAAGTTTGGTTTAAGGGGAGATGTTAGGATTAGTGTATAAACTGCCAAATTTGTAATTTCTGTTACTTACACGTGTACTACTGTAAATGGCAAGTGCTACTCACTACTACTCACGTGTATTGTTTGTACATATAAATGAGTTTGTAAACTCTGTATTTTTTAATCAATTGAAAGATTCAACAGTAACAAACTTTTCTTTTTCTCTCAAATTCGTATTCTCAACTAAACATCATCTCCTTGGTGATGAACCCAGGCTAGTGCAAGCTGGGATGTGGTGCATCCTTTCTTTGCTGCTATCTCATTAACACGCTCAAATAACTTCTTGTTATGCTCCAGATTTTCAGGTTGCAACCTGGGAAAATACTGCAAAATTCGGAATATAAAGTTTGCTATGTTAGAGAAGAGATCACATGAGAACAACAATACTATTACCCACAAGACTTAGCCTGCTTGCCCCGCACTGCACAAAGTGTTGTGCTAGAAAACATGTGTTGAATGTAAATTTAACACATTACATTACTAACAATTAAATTGTGGTTCACAGACCTGTCTAAAATCATCTTTTGAAATGTTTTCAAGCAACTTAGGCCCTGATGAAAAGAATCCTCGTCCTAGAGGACTGTATACAACAATCCCGATGCCAAGTTCCCTGAGAAATCAGCAAGATTGTGTTAGTGTTCAAATAGTTATTTATTTTTTATAATCTCCTTTTTATTCGATCCAAAGCAATTAGTTAGTCTCATTAATGCCTTACCTACAAGTAGGAACAACATCTTCCTCCACATCTCGTGACCATAAGGACCATTCCAATTGCACAGCTGTTATTGGATGAACAGCATGAGCTCGTCTAATTGTTGAAGCAGATGCTTCGGATAGACCAATATACTTTATTTTTCCCTCTTCAACTAGTTTTTTGAGTTCCCCAATCTTTCAAAACACAAAAGAAAAGAAACAAAAATTAGTGTATGCCTCACAGGAAGCTTGTACAGAAGATGTGATCGATATAAGGAACAGAGCCAATTGTTAAAAAAAGACAGAGTGTTGAACTCTGTGAGTTCAGATTGTTAGTGTAAAAAATATAGCTGAAAGTCAACAAGGATTGATGCTCACAACCCAAAAAACATTACACTGTGAGTTCAGATGCTATCAATAATGATCCAATGATGATTTGAGTTTCCCCACGAATATTTCACTAGAGGATAATTTCTTGATATCAGCTTTTTTTTTATAAACAACACTTGTGAATGGTAATCAATAGAAAGGAATGACAATTAAAAGCATCTCGACTGCAAATTAAAATATCACAAGAATGGACATGTTTCAGTAAGCTTAGATTAGGAGAGGGTCTGAGTTAAGGGAGAAACTCCTAATGACTGTCTCATTTATAACTATATTTTATCTCCCTTCGATGAACTATAACCCTCATGCGAGACCGCCTTTTAATTATAGTGTCTGTAATATTCCTCGAACAAAACTAAATGATTTATAAACATCTCCCTCGTCTTACCAACAAACAGACATAAAGGCATTCTCCACTACAGGCCAGATCTCTACCGTATCGACAATCACCTAAACAGAGTACTTGTAGTCTCCAGTACACATCAATAAGGCCTGGATACATGCCACACATTTCCAATAAAGAACAAGAGAAAGAGGAAGAACCTCTGATCAGTGTAACTACACTCATTCATTCAATTTGAAAGAAACTTAAAAGGAACCTTGTTAGCTGCAGGCAGTTCAATTGGTCAAACTGATTTAACAGCGTCATAATGTGCACAAATAACAATCTAAATGTGATTTCAATTACTAATACTAATTAACAAGCAGAGTAAAAGTTTAACAAGGGGCAAACCGTGACTTCAATGGGAACTCGAGTGTCAATCCGATGTTGGTAGTAAAGATCAATACAATCAACACCTAGCCGCTTCAAGCTCGCCTCACAGGCAGCCCTCACATAGGCTGGATCACCATGTATTTCCATCTGGCCGTCCGCAAAGCTGACACCAAATTTAGTGGCCAATTCAACTCTTTCTCTCATCCCTCCCTTCAAAGCCTGCTCAAATTCACATCAAATAACAAACAACAATCAAGTTTAAAACCCTGTACAAATCCACAACTAAAAAATAAACCTAAAACAACATGACAAAATTTCACTAACTTCCCAAAAAATGTAACATATTGGCTTAAAAAATTCATCAAATACCTCGTCTAAATTATGAAATCATCATCTCATCCATCTTTTCCCCTTCGTTTCCCAACCATATGGTTTCATGGACTCTAAGCAATTAGACTAAAACAAAAAACACAAACTTTAAAAAATTCTCTGTTCATTATCCAAACCCAGTTGGTGTATGACCAAGTCAAGCCTGAAGAAACTCAACAAAACACACAGGAGAGTAAAGAAAGAGAGAAAAAGAGTGAACCTTGCCGAGAAGAGTTTCATTGGTGTGAGGTCCATATACATCAGAAGTGTCGAGTAAAGTGACACCACTGTTGTTGGCATGGTGGATCAAGGCGACCATTTCAGGCTCAGGTTTTGGAGGGCCATAGAAGGCAGACATGCCTATGCAGCCTAAGCCTTGAGCTGAAACTTCCAGGCCTTGTGAGCCAAGCTTGATTCTCTTCACTGTCGCCATTAATTTCTCTGTGGTTCTGGTTGAATTTTGAGGTAGAGTAAATGAGTTTGAGAGTGAGAGTGAGACTATGAAGTGGGGTTGTGTAGTGTGGATTGCTTTGCCTTTGCATCGCCTTCTATAGTGTTTTGAGTGGGTTGGCTGGGTGATGACACGATTAGGTAAGCTCTTAGGATAGTGTTTCCATGAAGACAGTGGCGGAGTTTCGGAGTTCTTGTACGTAGCAAAGCCACTCTTATATCTTTCACCCTTTACAGCATCTGCTGCAGCAATGGATTCCAGTTCAGCCACTTCTTCTGGAGTTAGTTTCACAGACAACGCTTTAATATTTTGATTGAAGTTTTCGATTTTGGTGGTTCCAGGAATTGGACAAACATCATCTCCTTGGTGATGAACCCATGCTAGTGCAAGCTGTGATGTGGTGCATCCTTTCTTTGCTGCTATCTCATGAACACACTCGAATAACTTCTTGTTATGATCAAGATTTTCAGGTTGCAACCTGGGTGTATTCTGCAAAATTTGGAATATAAAAGTTGATTAATTAGATTTAACTTAAATAATTTACGGGGTCAAACATAGATTACACATGTAAAAATATTTTATAATAAATAAAAAATTTAAGGCTACATTGGGCTTAGTGAGGACATTGGCTCCCACTGCGTCCAATGTTGGTATGTTTCTGATTATAACTGTCAATATAAAACGCTTGTTTGGACGTTAGTACCATGTTGAAATAAAAAATCAAGTTATGACGCAGCACTGGGAAACATGTAACCCAATGTGCACTTGGGACGTTTTCCTAATGCCATTTGTGTTGGAATACAAGAATTATTCCAACACAATTAGGTCTATTCTGACAAGTTTTCCATGTCGAGGAAGACTGTATTTCCTGTAGCAATATGTGATACATTACAAAGAGACTAAGAATTGAATTGTTGTTTACAAACCTGTCTAAAATCATCCTTTGAAATGTTTTCAAGCAACTTAGGCCCTGATGAAAGGAATCCTCGTCCTAGAGGACTGTATGCAACAATACCAATGCCAAGTTCCCTGGGAATTAATCAGCCAAATTGCATTAGAATTCATATGGTTATTTTCTATAATCTCTCTTTTCTATTTGACTCTTATATATAAATTCAATTAGCCCCATTAAAATATATATATGCATATGTCTTACCTGCAAGTAGGAACAATCTCTTCCTCCACATCTCTTGCCCATAAGGACCATTCTAACTGCACAACTGTTATCGGATGAATAGCATGAGCTCGTCTAATTGTTGAAGCACATGCCTCAGATAAACCTATATACTTTATTTTGCCTTCTTCAACTAGTTTTTTCAGCTCCCCCATCTTTCAAAACACACAAAAAAGAAACAAAAATTAGATGTATGCTTGACAACAAACTTTTTTAGAACAAGAGATCCATACAAAGAACGAATAAACAATTGGAATGCAAGCCTTTTAGGATCCAACATTTATTATGGGATTAATGAGTAGTTTATTAATCCTCCCCTTATCACCAGAATATTGGCCTGCTCAGATGTGGACACCGACGCCAAAGTGCAAATCAGAGGGAGAAGGCTGGTCAGGACATAGAATTAATCTTTTCTAGCGCTGATCTGAATCGTCGGAGTAAGCCAGTATTCTAAAGGTGCCTCATAATGCATTACTACATCAGATTGTTATTGTAAACATGATTTGAGACATTCAATACTAATCAACAAGCAGAGTAATTAAAAGTTTATAGATAACAAAGGGCATACCGTGACTTCAATAGGAACTTGAGTGTCAATGCGATGTATATAGTAAAGATCAATACAATCAACATCAAGCCGCTTCAAGCTCCCCTCACAGGAAGCCCTCACATAAGCCGGATCGCCATGAATTTCCAACTTGCCATCCTCAAAGCGGGCACCGAATTTAGTGGCCAATTCAACTCTTTCTCTCACCCTGCCCTTCAAAGCCTGGAAAATTTTCACACCAAAGAGCAAACTAATCAAGTTTAAAACCATTTACGAAGCCACAGAAAACAAAAATTAAACCAAAAACATAGTATTATGCCTAAAAGGTTATTTTGATGTCAGCTCAACAAGTAAATAAAAAACAAAGTGTATTAACTGTCAAGCCCATACCGCCTCAAAGATATTTTATACCAATCCTATCTCATCTTGAGATAAGGATGAATGAGAGCTCTCTATGTGTTAAGGTAACTTGTAAAAACACTCATTACATTGACCTCAAATGTGTATAAATAAACACATCTCTTCGTAAAAAGGGAAGACTGAGTATATAAGAGCTAGACATAGATTTGAGCTTTATTATTTTCTTCTGTAAATAAAGTTTTTCTTCATCTTTGTATGTTTTATGGGCAATATCATAGAAATAATCAGAGAATAGCAAAATAACACTGGATATAAGATTTGCTTTAAGCATCCGAACCACTTTAAAGACCTCTCTTGCCAATTTTTTTATTTATGTTTCTGCAACATATATAATCTCAGCACCATATTCAAATCTCATGAATCTATCACGTGTAATTTCTAAGACTTTTTTAACACTTTGCACGTACGAGTTGTTGGTATCAAAATCAAGCATCAACACGTAGCCTAAAACAACATAACAAAATTTCACTAACTCCCCGAGATTTGTCCAATACTTATAAAATATATGTTGGCTAATTAACGAAATGGATTTATGGATACATGTGCAATTAAACGCATTTATTGTATGATCAAGTTAATCATGGTGGAACTCAACAAAATACACAAGAAAGTAAAGAAAGAGAGAGAAAGAGTGAACCTTGCCGAGAAGAATTTCATTGGTGTGAGGTCCATAAAAATCAGAAGTGTCAAGAAAAGTGATGCCACTGTTGATGGCATGGTGGATCAAAGCGATCATTTCAGGTTCAGGTTTTGGAGGGCCATAGAAGGCCGACATGCCCATGCAGCCTAAGCCTTGAGCTGGAACCTCCAGCCCTTGTGAGCCAAGCTTGATTCTCTTCACTGTTGCCATTAATTTTTTTGTGTTTCTCTATTGAATTTTGATGGTAATTAAAGTGATTGTGAGCTTGAGAGTTGTGCTGATTAGTGGTTTTGTGGATGGCTTTGTCTTCGACTCTTCACTTTATATAGTGGTTGAGTGTACATGCAGGATGATGTTATGCTTAAGTAAGCTCTTACGGATGGTAGAGGGACCAAAGTAAAAACAAGAAAGACATTGGGGTTTTTTGGTGGTGAGTTATGCAGGGTGATGTACTGATGTTATGTTTAAGTAAGCTCTTACGGATAGTAGAGGGACCAACGTGAAAACAACAAAGACATTGGGGTTCTTAATAGTGGTTGAGAGTGTACATGAATTGATTTTTTTATCTAAAGTCCATTAAAAAACAATTAAAAAACAATTTCAAGGCCAAGAAAACCTGAAATTAGAAAGTTCATGGGAGATGTCACAATCAATTTTACTACTCTATTTTACTAATCAATTGAATGAAACTTTGAAGAAACTCTTCTTAGTTGCACCTTTTTTAAATACATCTGGTCAAATTGATTCAACACAACAGACCTAGTCAAATCTAATCCCTCTTTCAATTTCCTAAAAACTGAGTCAAATTCAAACTTCTCATAACCTTGAATCTTCAACAAAAGCAAGCTAACCATAGTCTTAGGTTTTGCAAAACACAAGTCAAGGAAACCAAATGGAAATGAAACATAGACACAAGGACAATAAGGGTGCAAAATCTATACAATATTACAGATTGAAAATTACATGTAAAGAAGCAAATAAAATGAAAATGAAACAAAGACATACCTCTAGACCTATTATAAGATCAATTAGTCAGACTCTAAAATGAGGTATTTAATAATTTTTTTTTAAATGAATAAGACTTAAGACTTAGAATCTATAGAGAGCAAACTATATCTGGGTGACCGAGTGATTTGATAGACACTCTTGGGTATATTACTCAAGAGGTTATAAGTTTGAGTCTTTTCTCGATTGTTAATAGAGGTAATCACTGAAACTCTTACTCCGATCGGTAGTCCCAAGGTCCTGGGAGATTAGTTAAGGTGTACAGAAGTTGGCCTGGACACCCCTGGTCATGAAGAAAAAAAAAAAAAACTTTGTGTTAAATTCTTAAAAACCCCAAAGTTTTCTTTAATTTTTCTCATTTTCATCCATAAGAGCCTAACTAAGCATGTCATCACCCTGCATGACTCAACCACTATATAAAGTGAAAAACATAGGAAGAGTCGAACACAAAGCAAATAAGCAATCCACAACCCCACTAATTCGCACAAGTCTGAAACTCATTGACTTCACCATCAAAATTCAACCCAAAAACCCAGAAATTAATGGCAACAGTGAAGAGAATCAAGCTTGGCTCACAAGGCCTAGAAGTGTCAGCTCAAGGGTTGGGATGCATGGGCATGTCGTTCGTCTTTGGCCCTCCAAAACCTGAACCTGAAATGATCGCTCTGGTCCACCATGCCATCAACAGTGGCATCACTTTTCTTGATACTTCTGATGTGTATGGACCTCACACCAATGAAATCCTTCTTGGCAAGGTTAATACTTTTTCTCTCTTTATATTTTCTTCTGTAGTTTATTGAGTTTCATCAGGCTTAACTTGATCGTACAACATCTGGGTTTAAAATAATGCACAGAAAACTCTGGTTCTATATGTATTAAACAAATCTTAGGGGGTTAGAGAAATTTGTGTAACAACCACAAATTCTAAGGACTCAGTTAAGATGACCTCGGCTTGATATACGCAGCTGGCAGGATTTACTTTATATCTCCAGTCACCTCATGTCCGACGAGGGTCTTTCCAAGTGAGTGCCAATCCCACGAGGTTTGCCCAGAGGATGGTCTTCTTCTCATACCAATTATAACAACCACAAAAGGGTAGAACTCACCTTTGAAACAGGCTTGTAAGGGGAGTGTCCCACCTGAAAGTAACATTAAGATTTTTAAGATTTGAATTAATTACACTGGGTACCTTGACCATACACACACACCCACATATTCATATATATACCTTTCTAAGGCGTCTGTAAAACTTTGAAGCTCTTCAAGTGTACCATATGCATCATATGAATCATCTATAATCATTAATATCATCACAAGTTTGGTCTGTACTATACGGGCACGTGAATAGCAAGGCTCAAAATAATTTGCAGTCGTCCAGAAGTAGATCTCCACAATTCTACCTCGAGTAAGAAAATTCTACAAACTGCAATAAGAATGACAACAAAATCTAGATTTATTATTATATAAAATAGCTACTTGATCTTCAAAAACACCTAGCTCGGTATCCAATCATATGAAAGATGCTGGTCTTTGGGGTTGACAGGGTGAGCACTAATTGGATGAGAGCATGACAAAAACTTTTCAACAAACCTACCTGGTGACCTGGTTGAGCTCTTGTTGGTGCAATAATTGTACCCGATTAAAATCTAGTTTTGCAAATATGAGTAGAGTTTCGCTTCTGTATTCGCCTGGATCTTCTTGGTAGAAAGAGATGTATTTGTGTGTTACCAATCTTGGTACATTTTTGTGCAAGAGCGCTTCTAGAGCACTTGTTATATGTTTTGCTAGATGATCTGGACTTGATTTAGCCAAGGACTTGAGATGAGTTTTTGTAACCATGTTGTCTAAAAACTCGAAATAGAAGAGCTACAATGTAGAGATCATAATCATCATGTTTGGCGACATCAGGTTGTGCTTCAAAAATTTGATCTAGTTGTTCTTCAATTTCATTCTCAAAGTGATATGACACACCAAGGCGACATATTGATTCAATGAAGCTAACTTTCTCTACCGGATCATTTAGAGGAGTAATTAGCATTTCTTTCACTTTTTGTTTCAGCTCTTCTGCACGTCTATCATTTGATTCAATTTCCTGAAACCAAATAACAATAATTAATATTGAAATTTGAATATAACATAGAAAATGAAAACTGTGTATTGATATATATTTGAGTGATTACTATAGGAATGCAATAGCTCTCATATTTGAGTTTACTCTTAGCTTCTCAGTCGGCTAAGTAAATAATATATAGAAAAATTCTATGATACTCAAGGTAATAATACACTATACTATAAATATGATGCTAGCTAGGGACCCAGTTGATTACTGAAATAGGTAGAGAAGAAGTGAAGACGTTGGAGTCTTTCCATATCGTAGGGGTGAAGTTTGCGAGAGGACGATAAACTTCTTGGTTGTCTTTAGCTGCTAAACATGCACTCATAGATTCTGATTTATTTACTAAGCTATTAAAGGAAACTAAGGAATGGCTACGAATTTTTGGGGGAAATTTGACTGATGGAAGTGGATTAATGCATGGCTTGGAGTTTTCTGCAACAAGTATTTGAAGTGCCATTGAACAGAAATGGCTTGGAGATGACCAATTTGTTTGCCGTAATCAAAGGTTTAAATAGAGTCTATTAATATACAGTAACAAATGCAAATCGTGCATAACGTTTACACTTTAAATAGAAAATATTTATATTAGTTCTCTTTCATAATAATAAATAAAGTTTGAAACAATAAAATAACAATGATCTGATCCCTTTCTCACTTTTGTGCCCAAAAACGTTTTCTCTCCTGGACAAACATCGCATATTTTAAAAAGTAAATCTTTTGCATGCGTTTCTTTCTTCAGATTTTTTCACTGGAAATAATCTGCTGGTCAGAATTAGTGAGAACTAAACCAAGTGCAAGTTGGTGAGTGTGTCGACAAAGTGGAAGATAAAGATAACAAAAACTTGATCTTGTTTATGTGAATCACATGGTCGAAGGACTTCGATTTTGCTCAAATTTGGAGTAGGGGTTTCTTGTATTATTTTCTTTATGTTCATTAGTTTCAATTTCCAGTTTGTGTTCTGTATTATGTTATTTGTTAAACTGATTTATAAGGAGACAAGAACCAGCTTTTTTTGGGGGGGCGGGGCGGGTCAGCAACCACCTTGAGAATCGGTTAGACCCAGCAAAATGTTGTTTTGAAAAGGGGCATGAACATTTTAGGACCCGTTTTCATGTGACCTGTACCCGACCCTATCTATTTTTTAAAACGGTCGGGCTGGGTATACCCGTGGGTACCTGTATTTTGAAACCAAAAAAAATAATTTAGAAATTGTTATTTCATATTTGTTAGTCTAGGGTGTTTTTGTAATTAGAATATTGTATTTGTCTTTATGATTTTATGTATTTGTTTTCTATATGCTTGTTGGTTTTAAATTGATGAGAAATTGAGTTGGTTGTGAATTTTTTTGGTGAATTGAATTGAATATGAAGTATAATGTATTAGATCGTGAGGGTGTAACTGCAAAAAATGAAAATTGTAGAAATTGTGAGGGTATCACTACAAAATTTGAAAACTGGAGTGAGAAAAAACAGGTATCCACAGGTCGTCCTGTAACCGCATATGGTAGGGTATGGATCCAATATTTTAGACCCGTATAAATTTAGTACGTTTTGACCTGTACCAGTTTGACCAGGCTGTACCCACCTGTTTTGCGAGGTCTACTTGAGATTACAAAAAATGAAATAACTGTTTTACCCTCTGAGTTTGGGAAATTAATCTAAATGTACACCTTGAGATTATAAAACTTGAGTTGACTTTTTACCCTCTAGATTTATATAGGGTTGTAGTCGAGTCGAGTAGCTCACGCTTGACTAGTCATGAGCCCAGACTAGACTTGTAACTAATGAGTCAGGGGCGAGTTCGAGTATTAATTTGGGCTTGATTGGCGCATAGAGCTNCAGGCTTGTAAGGAAAGTGTCCAAGCAATTATTAAACATGCCAAGCTTTACCGATGTGGGACTCAACTAGGATCGTCACAATTTGTTACGTTGTTTTAGTTTAAATTTTGTTTTTCTGTGGCTTTGTTTAGGGTTTTTAAACTTGATTGGTTTGCTCTTTGATGTGAATTTTGGCAGGCTTTGAAGGGAGGGGTGAGAGAAAGAGTTGAATTGGCCACTAAATTTGGTGCCCGCTTTGTGGATGGCATTGGCAAGATGGAAATATGTGGCGATCCGGCTTATGTGAGGGCTGCCTGTGAGGGGAGCTTGAAGAGGCTAGATGTTGATTGTATTGATCTTTATTACATACATCGGATTGACACTCGAGTCCCCATTGAAGTCACGGTTTGCCCCTTGCTAAACTTTCACTCTGCTTGTTAATTCGTGTTTGTTGTTAGCGTGCAGATTTCTTAATTTTAAAGTCCCCTGTTTATATGTTTTTGTCTATGTTAAACATGTACTCGGACTTGGGTAATTGTCTTTAGTTAAAGGAAATATTTAGCAAACATGTACAGAGCAAAAACTACCCTTTCTCAATGCATGAAAATAGTAGTCTTGCATTGCAACTGTCCATTTGTTCCTTATACGGATCACATCTAATTCTTTGTTCTTTTCTTGTGTGTTTTGAAAGATGGGTGAACTCAAAAAACTAGTTGAAGAGGGCAAAATAAAGTATATAGGTTTATCTGAAGCGTGTGTTTCAACAATTAGAAGAGCTCATGCTGTTCATCCGATAACAGCCGTGCAACTAGAATGGTCCTTATGGTCACGAGATGTAGAGGAAGACATAGTTCCTACTTGCAGGTAATGCAATCGATACATTAATGGAGCTAATTGAATTGCTTACAGTCAAATAGAAAATAACCATATGAATTAATTCTAATGCAAACCTTGTTGATTAATTTCTCAGGGAACTTGGCATTGGGATTGTTGCATACAGTCCTCTAGGACGAGGATTCTTCTCTTCAGGGCCTAAGTTGCTTCAAAACATTTCAAAGGATGATTATAGACAGGTTTGTTAATAACAATTCAGTTCTTAGTATTTCGAATGTATTACATATGCATTCGGAAGCAAAACATGAATATTAGGTATTTCAAACTCCAATCTGGCATTAGAAAAGCCAAAAATGCACCGGAATCACTCTATTCCGATGCACAAAATGGCGTCCTAACTTTTTTTTAATTTCATCTTTTTGCAGAACTTACCCAGGTTGCAACCTGAAAATCTGGAGCATAACAAAAAGTTGTTTGAGCGTGTTAATGAAATAGCTGAAAGGAAAGGATGCACCACAGCACAGCTTGCGCTAGCCTGGGTTCATCACCAAGGAGATGATGTTTGTCCAATTCCTGGAACCACCAAGGTTGAGAACTTCAATCAAAATATTAAAGCGTTGTCTGTGAAACTAACTCCTGAAGATATGGCTGAACTTGAATCCATTGCTTCGGCGGATTCCGTAAAGGGCGATAGAGATATGTATAGCCATGCTACTTACAAAAACTCTGAAACTCCGCCGTTGTCTTCATGGGAAGCTTCTTAAAGTCATGCATCTTGTAGATGTAGTGAATGAAAATTAGCAATCAATACTCTGTTTACTGCATTCTTTCATAGTATTTTTTACTTTCTGCAGTTTTACACAACGGTTAAAACCTTTATATTTCCCTGATGATTCTGGATTTCATATTATCCTTTCAGTTTTTTGTTCATTGTTTTTCTTCTTAATCACACCTTGTATAACAAAATAATATTGAACAGAGATGGAAACACAAACCATTACAAAATGAAATTCCGATAAAAAAAAATTTATCACAAGAAAACAATAGATGCAAAGAGAGGAACAAAATCAATAACACTTCTACATGTTAAAAATTGAGAATGTGCATAAACAAAAATCTAAATCTAGCAGAGCATTCAACATTTGATATTACATTTCCATTCAACAGAGCACTCCCTTATACACTTAATCGAAATAAGCTTGATATTACATTTTCGGCAACAACTTCTAGTTGCTCCCAATTGCTTGAATCTAACAAGATTAGTGGCGTCAATTGGCCTATTACTCAACTCTTATATAACAAGAATCTCACAGGCTAAGGACAAGGACTTTGAGTATCTTCAGTTCTCAGATGATAGCAACATTTTAAATCCTGCTATAATCCAAACATGAACACAATGTTTGAAGGTTTATCAAGAGACCAATCAAGGACTGCAATAACGGTAGCCACACCTTGGAAAAAACTATCCAGGATTTTTAAAGAACCTCCATACTCACAAAAACTCAAGGTCTGAACAGTCTAAAACATTAGGCCAAAAGCTAATCGTTAAGGCAACATCACAATCGTTTACTGAAAGAACCACTAAGTAACAAACAAGAGTCTTTGAGCTTACAAACCATTTTGTCTAGTTTATTTCATCAAATAACAGAAAAAGAGTCTTAGAGTTCACCAACCACTTTATCTAGTCTATTTCGTCAAATAACAAACAAAAGTCTTTGAGTTCACCAACCACTTTATCCAATTTATTTTGTCAAGTAACAAAAAGGAGTCTTTTGAGTTCACCGACCACTTTATCTAGTCTATTTCGTCAGGTAACAAACAAGAATCTATGAGTTCACCAACCACTTTATCTAGTCTATTTTGTGCATATTCCATCGTAAGGTTAACCTCCTTCAAGTATATCGAAACCAATGATATGTTTGAAGAAGTCCGACATAGAAGTATCATTTTCCATTAGAGTAGAAATTTAAAAATTTTTCTTGAGTTCCATCACCTGTTAAGTAATTGTAACTCAACAAAACATTTGAATATCCATTTTCTAACCACGTATGAACCTGGTTTGGGAAGGCATTCTCAGTTCTCGCAAAGCATCTTCTCATTCAAACTGATTTGTCTTGTTCCTCAATGCTCTCGCTACAGTAGCAATGGCAATGGGCAAACCTCCACATTCCCAGCATACATCATGTAGTAATTTCAAACCAAGTGATTCAATAACATTACCTGCACAGGAATGCAAAATCATAACTTAAAAGCTACCAAAAATATAAAGTTTTTACAAAGTATGTGGAGTAAATTTAGGGACATAGCCATGATTCATTCAATTTTTTTCATTCTGTCAAGGCCTAAATTTAGGAACAAATCCAGGAATTTAATACAGGGGTTCATGACAATATAATTATCACAACAGTATACTGGTTATACCATGCACTAAAATATTTATATTCGTTTTTAATATTCTTTATAATTGATACAATTGTAACACTTTATCAATGTTCTGAAACCCGACCCTAGGTGTAACCCAGCCAAGGGGCTGAGTCCCAGGTCGAGCGATTGAGCCGTCCGACCGGTGCATCGAACCAGTGACGTCATCATGTTGACCTCAGCATGATGACATCATGCTGATCAGACCTGAAAAAAATTGAAAATTATAAACCCAATAACAAAATAAAATCTGAAATCCAAATAACACTATCACAAATACAACAAATCCAAATCCAGACAGTGCAATCTGGATATCCAAGGCTACCTATAACATCATACTAATAATACAAATTAGGACTGTTAACACCACTATTCCAATGTCTAATCTTTCTCCACCTTTTCATAAAGCAAGAAGCAAACAGTATGCACACTTACACTTTTTTGACTTTTGATTTTGAGTAGCTTCACCAAACCATTGAACCTGACCTCCTAATCAACAATCAGCGCACCTTAGCCTCCCTGTTCAAAACCTGCACCTCTCTCTCACGCTTTCTCCTTTGGCCTTTCCCTCCACTCTCTCTCTCAAACTCTCCCTCCAAAACAAACCCTTCTGCGGCACCGCTCTTGTAAACTTCTACTCTCACTTTTGCTCCCCTGACAATGCCAACAGGGGTTCGATGAAATTCAAAACAGAGACAAGGTCTTTACACGGCAATGATCGTGTGTTTCACGCAGAACTCTCGTTGTTGGATTCTTTATCAGTGTTTGCTGATATGAGGAGCTGTGATCTGCGGTCCACAATGCACAGCGTGTCTAGAGCTTTGCACAGCGGCTGAGCTAGCGGTGATGAAGCAGTGCAGGGTGGTTCATGGGCATTCTGTTGTTGCGGGTTTGGACAAAAATGTGATTGTGGGAACCGCCTTGATTGATGGATATGGAAAAGCTGGGCTTGTGTTTGATGCAAGAAGGGCTTTTTATGAGAATTTGAGCGAATTAAATATCGTTGTGTGGAATGCTATGATAGCTAGTTATGCACGACAAGAAGATAAAAATTCAGTACTTGAGCTTTTTCGTTTATTTGATGCGAGAAGTTTTGTCCTGGATGAATATAGTTTTTTGGCGGTTTTAACGGCTTTTTGTAATGCAGGTTTGGATTTTGTGAGTGAGAAATGGATGCAGAGAATGAGAGTTGAGTATAATTTAGAACCGGAATTTTGAAGCTAATCCAGCAATACTCGAATTCAATTAGCTCAAGTTTGATAACACAAGCTCGAGCTCCAGTCCGAGTATGCCTTCCTGTACTTGAGTTCGAGCTCAAACAAGGAATGCCATACTGGACCAAGGTCGGATAGCCAGATACTTGGCTTGTCATGAATTCTTGGATACTAATGCTTCATAAGGAGAAATCTGCCACTCCAAGCCAAAATTAAAATATCAGATGCAGTCCATAAACAATCTCCAATCTTAACAATAATGTCATTAAAGAAGAAAGAACAAATCTTTACCATCTATTGCATAACGGGCTAATATATGAGCTCCGGTTTGTTTATAATTGGATTTCAATATAATTGGATTTCAAAAGTGACACAGCGTGTCACATATTCTAATCATCTCCTAATTTTAGCAAATCATAAGATTAAGTTAAGAACCCTTCATAGGCAGCAACTTTCAATAACATAAGCTAGTAGAAAAACAATTCTCATACCCATGAAAGGTAAACCAAAATGTAGATAACCAAAATAAGTTGCAATCCTAGCAATCAAAAACCCCCGCACATTATTTCAGAATATATCCTTTCTTGCTCAATAAGAGGGAGTTCGTCTACAAGTCAATCAAGTTAAAAATTTTCTTTTAATTTCTTTGCAACCAAAGAGAGCATTAGCGAATCAAATTATTACCCAGAAAAACAGAAAAATAAAAAAATCCACCTTTGACATTGTGCGATGAGAAGTTACGGGGTTGAACATGCCCGGGTCTTCTTCTACACAGATACTGCACAAAATTAGACAAAATAAGAAATTAAAATGAAGAATTGGAAGATAATAATAAGTGAAGCACAGTGAGGGAAAGAAATTACAGTGGTGAGTCGAGATGCTAACACACGCATGGTGTTATCTAACAGAAGAAGATTTGAGAGATAATCATCATCCCTGCACAGCCAAACATACGAAGCATCAAACAGAGAGATGAAACAAAAAGTTCTTTGGTAAAAAAACAATTCTAAAAACAAAACTATCGGATTGAAATTGGGAGCAAGAGAGAATAATCTCATAACACATTTGGGGTTTGTTTCTAATATCAACTCACAAAGTCAAACCCTAAACCTTCACAGTCGAAAACGATTTTTCAATTCAAAAAATATGTCTGGAGTTTCTGTTACCTCTGCGACAACCACCTCTCAAAGAAGAGATCTTCATGGCTTTCCTACCAACTTCCTTCACAAATGTATTCTTCCCCACTCCACCCATGCCCGAAACTCCCATCATGGAGGTATTGACATCTTTCGACGCATCCCCCATGTTTTTCACAGTGGATTTTCTTGATTCGAAAGGCCAATAATCGTCAATCAGCTCCTCTGGTTCAACCATTTGAAGGGGTGAAAGAGAAATAAAGTGAATGACGAAGATGGAAAGAGTGATGGTGGAATATGAAGATCTCAAGATAATTGTGACTATCACATGGTGGCCATTATTATTGACTGTTAATGCTTGCATCGAATTGTGAAATAACCTTTTCAACCTCTAAATTTGGGAAATTACTGAAGGTACACCGATGACTGGTGCTGTGGATTGCTTTGTCTTTGACTCTTCATATGTTTATCAAGGTTTTAAAACCCAACCTGGGGGCAACCCGGACAAGCCACAAGGTCATGGGTTTTATGGATAGAAAGGTCCAACTGACGGGTCGGACCGTGACATCATCAGATATCATGCAAAAAATAGAAATATTAAAAAAAATACAGATTTTAATTTTTAATGGTTTTTTTTTTTTTTTTTCTTCTCTACTAGTGTTGGTTTTGTCGAATAAAAATGGGGAAGGAAGAAGTGAAAAGCTGAAAAGGGTTACTTTTAATTTTATTATTTTTAATATTTTATTGTAACAATCCCAGGACATACTGGTTGGATCGGTGGTTCGCTGGAAAAAAATCGATCCAACCGATATAACTAGGGTTGTTCAACGAGACGAGCCGCTCACAAGCCGACTCGGCTCAGCTCACTCGATTTGTGAGAGAGTACGAGCCAAGTTCGAGCCTGCCTCGGCTTAGCTCGTTAGGCTCGTAAGCCGAGCCAGGCTCGAATTATTAAGGGCGTTTTAGGGGTTTTATTAAGTATAGAGGATTAAACTAAAATTGAAAAAAAAAAAGTTTGTAAAAATGACAAAGAACACCCTGATGTTAAAATCCCTAAAAATGCGACTGAAAATCCTTTCCCCTAAAACCAAACCAAACCAAACCATTTTAGGCAAGTTGTCAGCATCAGATTTGGTGGAAAGTGCAGGGAAACAAGGAGAAAGAAGGAAAGAAATCAGAATTGGTGGAGAGTGCAGGGGAAACAAGGAAAGAGAAAGAGAAAATAGGAAAAAAGAAGAAATAATGAAAGAAAGAGAAAATAGGAGAAACATGCGTCATTAGAGAGAGAGAAAAGAAGAGAAAGCAAACAGTGATAAGTAACAAAAGAGAAGAGGAAGAGAATAACTTTAGAGTTGATGGAGACTGGAGAGAGCACGGGAAACAAGGAGAAAGAAAGGGGAAAAAAAAAAGGGGAGCCATTGGAGTTGGGAGAGAGAGAAAAGAAGAGAAAGAAAATCAATAATAAATTAGAGAGGAAAAGAAGTGAAAGAGAAAGAGTAATAAATGAGAGAGAGAAAATCAGCACCAAATTTTGAAAAAAAAAAATTGCATGTTTTTTACTGGCTCGCGAGCCAGCTCTAACTCGGCTCGTTAAGCTGGCTCGCTAGCCAGGCTCTAAATCTTTTTCTCTCTTTACAAGTCGAGTCGAGTCAGGAAATTAAAGCCTCGGCTCCACTCGTATTCGGCTCAAATTCTTCTTCCTTTTCACAAGCCGAGCTCGTTAAGCCAAAAACTCGACTCAGCTCGGCAAGTTAATAGCCCTAGGTATAACTGCGGGTGGAAGCGAGTCAATTGCTATTTCCGGTTTTTAACATGAACCAACTCGATCTAGCCACATGTTTCCGGTCGAACCGGTTCAACTGGTCGGGCCAGGCCAGGTTTTAGAGCCATGATGTTTATCACTTTATACAGTGATTATGAATACTCGTAGGGTACCGATAATGTCTATGTAATTGGCCCAATCATGACTTTCTCGTTCGTTATTTTTTATTGATTGAAAGAAGGAATGGAAAATTATACTTCCATATTAGACTTATTCAAGAGTATCGTTTGTTTGGGTATACTTGAAGGAGTTAATCTTACAATAGAATAAGCACAGAATAGACTAGATATCAAGGAACTTAAAGACTCTTGCTTGTTACTTGATGGAAAATGATTGCTTTGTCTTTGACTCTTCGTATGTTTATGAATACACGCAGGGTACCGATAATGTCTATGCAATCGACCCAATCATGACTTTCTCGTTCATTATTTTTAATTGATTGAAAGAGGGAATGGATTTGGCTTTCTTTATTTTGATATTGATGTCTCGCGATTCATTGGTAAGAAACTTTCTAATTTAAGGTTTTCTTAGTCTTGAAATTGTTTTTAATCATTTATTACTCGACTTTAGATAGAAAAATTCAAAAGTGGTTTGTTTGGTTTAATTTTGAATAAAGAAATTTGAACTGTGTCAAATTCAAATTTCTCATAATCTTGAATCTTCAACAACAGCAATCTAACCATATTCTTAGGCTTTGAAAAGAACAAGTCAAGAAAACCAAATGGAGATGAAACATAGACACAAGAACAACAATGGTGCAAAAACAATGACATCATTATGGACCTATTATAAGATCGATTAGTCAAACTCGTGATATAGACCTATTGAACAATGTGTAATGGAGAACATATAAAAAGTATAAGCAGAAAAGTATTCAATATTTGACTGCAATCATACATGAGCAATGCATGTATATAAGATAACTTACTATAATCATACATTACTAGGAGCATTTTAGTAAGGAAAATAATACAGCCACCGACGGTAGTGCACCGAATTTGTGCACCGAATGACGTGATAAAATCCTGACCGTTGATTAATTTTAACTTAATATTAATCAACGGTCAGGATTTTGCCACATCATTCGGTGCACTACTGTCGGTGGCTGTAGCATTACTCTTTTAGTAATGTAATTCCAAAAAAGCAGCCAAAGAAAGTACAAAAATGTTATATCCACCGAAGAGTTGCACCGAAACACGTGGAGGCCGCCACATTGAACGATTGAAAACTGACATAAATGGACGGGCGTCTAACATTTTCGGACGGCCGTCCATACATCCCGGACGGTCGTTCATAATGGAATGGACGACCGTCCATAAAAAGTTATATAGATTTAAAAAAAAAAAAAAAAAAAACAATGGACGGCCGTCCAAATTTTAGGGATGGGCGTCCAGTTAAAATGGCCGGCCGGCCCTATAGGATGGATGACTGTCCCTAAATTATGGACGTCCATCCATAAAGATAGACGCCAGTCCATCATCTATGGACGGTCGTACATCGTATAGGGATGACCATCCATTTTAACTGGACGCCCGTCCCTAAAATTTTGGAAATTTTTTTATAAAAAAAGTTTTAAAATATAACGGAACGCCAGTCCATCTGTTGTGGATGACCGTCCATCTTGTTGGGACAGCCGTCCATACTAGATGGACTGCCATCCCCAGTTTGTGAAATTATAATTATTTAAAATTTTTTTAAAAATTTAATGTAAATATGGACGGCAGTCCATGTAGTATGGACAATCATCCATGTAGTTTGGACGGCCGTCCATACTACATGGACACTAGTCCATCTGTTGTGGACGGCCGTCCATCTTGTTGGGATGACCGTCCATAATAGATGGACTGCCGTCCCCACTTTGTGAAAATATGGACTGCCATCCATGTAGTTTGGACGGTCGTCCATACTAGATGAATGGCAGTCCATGTAGTAAGGACGGTTGTCCATACTACATGGACTGCCGTCCATATTTACATTATAAATTTTTTTTTTTTTGTTAATTAATATTATTGAATGGCTTGTCTAATACGCTTCATTTTTAAGCGCCAGAATTGGTTTCTCCTCTTCTCCTTCGTCTTCGTCATTTCTTTTTCTTATGTTCTTTGTCTACACCATTTGTTTTTCTTCGCTTCTCCTTCGTTGCGTGTTGTCATTCCTTGCTTCGACTCCGATTGCTTTCTCATCAGCGAAGCACGAGCAGCAATACCTTGTTTTACAGAGATAACCGAGAAACAAAAATAACAAAATATCAAACCTGTTAAAGCTCGGATTTTTGTTAAGGTAAAGAATTTTTTTCTTATTTTATATATTCATTTAGTTTCCATTCTATTTTGGATTGAATATATGTTTGATAGATAACATTCATATTCGTTTTATAGACAGTTGTGAACTAGATTTGTGAACGCGAAAACTGGTATTAACTGTGCATGAAATAACTGAATATGGAAGAGTCCAGTTTGCCTTGTTTCAATGATATTGAGGTAAATTGTGTTTGAAACGTTTTTAAATATGGTGTATTGTATTGTTTATTATGATGTGTTCACATTCTAATTTTCTTTATTATAAAACCATTGAATCAGGAAAATGAATGTGATGAATTAGAAGATACAGGATGTGCAAAGGAAGAAGTGGATCCTCATATTGGAATGGTGTTTAATTCAGTTGATAGTTTGGTGAAGTATTACAGAAGGTATGGGAATAAAATGGGTTTTGAAGCAATGATACGTACGTCAAAGAAAGGAGATGATGGAGTTATGAGATACGTGACAGTGGCGTGTTCTTGTGCTGGGAAAGAGAGAAGTAAATGTAGAAATACCTTGAAAAAACAACCTGTTGCAAAAACAGATTGTAAGAGTCGGATTAGTGCAACTTTGAATGGTGAATACAAATGGGAAATTAAGTCAGTTGTGCTTGAACATAACCATGATCTTACAAGTCCGACAAAAATGAGATATTTCAAGGTAAACCGAACGATACAGCCTTTTGTGAAAAGGAGGCTTGAAGTTAATGATCAGGCTGGGATTAGATCGTGTAAAAATTTTCAGTCATGTTCAGTTGAGGCAGGAGGTGTAGAGAATTTGTCATTTCTACAAAAAGATTGTAGGAATTACATTGAAAAAGTTAGAAGGCTACGACTTGGAGTTGGAGATGTTTCGGCAGTGCTAGAATGTTTTATGAAAATGCAAAAGGAGAATTCAAATTTCTGGTACATGATTGATGTAGATGAAGAGAGTCGATTGAAGAATGTGCTATGGGTTGATGCTAGATGTAGGGCCGCATATAAAGATTTCGATGATGTTGTGACCTTCGACACAACGTATCTGACGAACAAGTATAATATGCCATTTGCGGCTTTTGTGGGGGTTGATCATCATGGAAATTCAACATTGTTAGGTTGTGGGTTAATTTCACATGAGGACACAGAGACATTTGTATGGCTATTTCATTCTTGGCTTGAATGCATGGATGTTTCTCCTAATGGAATTATCACTGATCAAGATAAGGCCATGCAAAATGCAATTGAGATTGTTTTCCCCGGTACAAGACATAGGTGGTGTTTGTGGCATATAATGAAGAA